ACTCTCGCCTTTAAATGTTTTTTCCTAGGCAATTCGCATTTTGGTTCAAGAGCGCTTGACACAGGACGCCATAGCAAAGGCCAATCAGTCCAAGGAGGTTTGTATAGATGGTGCATGAGTCGAGTGTTAATTATTATTATAAGTGCAGGTGTAAATGTCTGCCATCTCGGTCAAAACCCGTTCTGTTTAAATACTTCAATTAGGCGGGTGGTAGAAACTTGCTTTATCTTTGCCATCCTAATTCTGAAAGACCCAGGGGATTATGGAGAGTGTACTAAGCTGGTTTTGTTTCAGTTGACTACCAATATATGTACCTGCATGATATATCATGTAAAGAGCTGTTCTGTCTTCATATTTGCTAGGGGATTACCCTTACTGTTCAGCGCAGCAGGCCTACAGTATGAGAAGAAATGCATGCCCTGGCTTTTCCTTGGAATCGGCAGTGTTGGCTGCGTAAACGGGTTGAAACATTCCTTGTATGGAGTGTTTTGCTTCGTACGTACACCTCGTGTGCTTAAGGAATGGGATGTTGGACATCCAACTCCTCCCTCCCGCCCTTCCCCAAAAAGAGAAATGGCGAAGGAAACTTCTGCACTTAAACCTCAGATTTTGCAGAATTATTTTCTAACTGCAAGCTGTCTGTTTGTAAGATGTTCCAGGGGATGGCTGCGGTTTTTCAGATTGGCATTTCTTAAACATCCCAGTTCCCCAGCTCTTCTCTCCGGCATTTGGCGCAGCAGCTGCTGGCATTGGGTCTTGGGCGCAGCCAGGGAAGGCAGCCTCTCTTGCCCTGCAGCTGCACATTTAGAAGTGTCCCTGCTAAAGTGACTGGGTCTGCTCGAAGAGCACGAGTCCATTCATCTTTTCTGGCAGCTGCTCAGAACAGTCCATGCTTTATTTATTATCATAACACTGCTTATTGTGTTTACAAAGTGGCAATTGCAGGTGCTCGGAGTTGCAGTGCAGTAATTGCCAGAAGCGTTGGAACAGCAAATCAAAGCTTTGGTCTTGTAGAGCCATAAAACTGTAAAAAGAGCAGAAAAATACGAAAGCAGCTGAGACCGCTGTAGTCATTTTAGGTTCTATAACTAATGTTAATAAAAAGCTGCTTTTAGTTGTTTACATAGCTGCACAGCTGACATGCAGGGATCAAAATGGGATTTTCTGTGTGTTTGGCAGAACTAGCTGCTTTGAGGAACGGTGAATTTTTTTTTCATGACAAAGAATCGTTCGTATTCGATAGGTCTTCAAAGCGTCCTCAGGTCTTAGGTCGAAATGTCGCTGTGTCACTGAATGTGATGTGTGTCGCTGGGAGCGTATTCTCATGAGGAATGCTAAATTTCAAGTGGGGCAGAGAAAAGGCAGGGGGTTGGAGGCAGGAAAACTGCTTTATCTGTGCCAGCAGTCATCAACGTCGTGATGTACCAGATGAATGAAGAAAATATCTTAAAAGCAGAGGGGATAGCTGGGTTGTAGGGTAGGAAGGGTGGGGGGGGAACCCTTCTGATTTTGGCTGGCTTGTTAATGGCCAAAATACTAGCCAGTGACACTGTATATTGAGCCTTGTTCCTGGAAACAGGTTATAAATGTCTGACTGCTGCATGGCAGACGACTTAATATACAAAATGTCATGAGCTGCGTTCTTGACAATATCAAGATAGAATGGGAAAAGATAAAATACAGAAATGTTCTCTGACTGAAGGATATACAGAGGACTATGCCGAGGACACTTGCACTGTTGCGGTTGTGGTTTAAATGTACTACATAAAATGAGATTTCTCCTGTTGGGTTGTCCCGGTACGGTTTTCGAGATAAGACATGACAGTTTTTAGATTATATTTTGAATGGCTGGGAATTGAATGTACTCAGTGTCTAGACAGAATTCAGATTTATACTGACAGACTCGTAGGCTGTCCTTCTGGGCTTTCCTTGCCTGATGAATGTGTCCTAGGTAGGATCAAGTACAACAAATGCCCTTCAGGGTCACTTTAAGGACATTACCGAAGGCTCATACCTGGCTTAAAGCACAACAGAGTGGGTACATTTTCCCCCTACTCTGAAATCTGGAATTTTTTTTTTTCCTCCCACTCCCAGGGAATCTAGTTTTACTGTTGACACTTCCAGTTACAGGGGAGATGGCTGCGGTGGTCAGGCCTGTTACAAGTGTTTTGTGCAGCATTTTTAAATGAAATTTTTTGGGCAGTGAGGCTGTGAAATGAAGTAGTCTGTGTAGTTGTTCTAGATTTAAAGGTGCTCTTCCTTTCTCTGTTTGAAGCTGCTGTGCAAATGAGTGTCTGCTTGTTGTAGCAGCAGTGGGTGCCTGCACAGCCCCGTGGGTGCCACGAGACCACTGCTACAGGCTATGGGGCTTGGGAAAGCCAGCCAAAAAGAATCAACGTTTTGCTGCTTGCGTGGCTCTGAGTGGCACTGAAGTGGCAATGAAGTCTTTGCAGCCTTCAGTATAAACCTGATTTCTTAAAAAACGTATACGTATGAAATCGGATATTGCTAGAATCTGTTTGAAG